TTTACAAGACAAATCTTTTTATTAAGGGGATTTGTTCTGTGAAGTTTGTTAGAACTTGGAAGTGCTACTGTGATTGGATGAACAACTCTTAAAATGAGAGTGGGATGGGCTCCCTCTGAAGATTGGGGAGACGGACCATTTGAGGGGAGGCAGAATCAATTACCTTTAGTTGGAATCTTTAAAGGGTAATAGTGCTTCAGTTATGGTGGAATTTCAATTCAGAGATTCAGATTCTAGTTTCCCCCTAATTAGCTTTGGAAGGACTTTAGCTTCCAGGCCAGGCTTTGATTAGGTGAGAACATAATGTCATTGATTAGATCTTGGATTGGGCTGGGCTGGGCTGGGCTGGGGTGGAAGGGATGGGCCTATGTGGTACACTGGAATGTGAAGTACCTCAAGCCGTCTGATTCCAAAGACCTAGTTCAAATCCCAGCTCTGACATCTACTCTCTCTGTGACCTTGAGCAAATCTCCTAACCTCCATGAGCCTCAGTTTCCTCATCTGCAAGGATAGCTTATATCCTGTCATTCCCCATGGGGGCCTCCGGAGTCCAAGTGCAAACTGCAGGTCTGAATTCCTTTGCCTTTCAAAATTGAAATCTGCCCTATATCTAGGGCTCCTGAAGACTGGGAATAAGTACCCTATAAGTTCTTCCGGCATCCAAGATGCTGTGGCTTGGGAGCCTCTTTCTCATTATAGCAAAGGCATTCCTATCCTGTTATTTAAGACATGGTTAATTTCATTTGATTTGCAAACGAAATTATATATTTTTGGGATTACCTAATGCCTCCTGGCTCAATGGGTTCAAGCACAGGAGTTAATGGGTCTAAGGTTGTAGTTTATGCTCTTATCAATTCTTTATTAGGCAAATTCCATTCAGCTGAATCAACATTTATTAATCACCTATGTACAAAGCACTGTGGATAATTGGATCATGAAGCTGAAGCTTTGGCAGGCACCCTAGAGGATATTTAGTCCCACTCCTTCATTGTACAGATGGGAAAATTGCCCAGTTACCTTCATTCTCTTCTATAGGCAGGGAAAGAGAGGGCTTTGGAGCCAGGAGGATCACAGTTCAAGTCCCATTTCTTATCTATACCATCACATGATAAATAATATCTTAATAATAATACCTTATAAATTCTTGTGAACTGATTGCTCTGTGACCTGAACACCTCTCTAAGACCACAATCTACAGAGAAGGTGCTGACCTGCATTGGTAGAGGGAGCTCCCTCACCATGGGGTT